CGCGCATTGTTCACGGCGGCAGCGGCGGCGGCGGTAGCGGCGGCGGCGAGGACCAGTCCGTGGGGTCGGGCGCTCTCTCCGCGGCGTGGAGCGGCTGCGTGTTCCGAGGATCCTAGGGTCCGGCCGCCCTGGATCGCATGTCCCCGCGGAAAGCCATTGTTTGGGCTGAGGGCGGCGAAGCGGGGAGCACGCTGCGCTTCCTGCCCCCGCCAGCGAGGGACGCTGCTCCCCACCAGTCCTCTAAAAGTGCACCCCGATGCTCCAGGGTCAGGGGTGCAAGAAAAACACAGGGTTGGGGGGCACCGAAAAGCAAGCCTTGCAACTCTCCTCAAGGTTATAGAGGAAAAAAATTCAGGTCACTGGAAGACTGAGCTCCAAATTCTTAGTAAAGAGCTGTGAAAATGGGACTCAGTTCCCTCTTCTTTCAGTGCGCGCGTGGGGACACAACCAACTTGCTTTTTTTCTTAGTTTATTTCACGATTTTGGTGACGTCGACGTGGGCCGGAGGGGACGGTGTGCAGACCTGAATGTGATTTCAGATTCTGCCACAGCTCTCTAGGCTCTGCCAGCAAAGTTCTTTGGATCAATTTCCAGTGGTAGAAGTTGGGGTGGCCCGGGTCCTTCCAGGTCGCCCTTTTATTTTCTCGCTCGGACATAAATTCCGTTGAGTAGCCTCCTTTGTAAGTTTCGAAGCAAGTCAAACACATGATGAAGGAGGAGTTCTCTCATTTAAAAAAGTAGATGCCAGTGAAAATCCACTTTCTGGTTTTGCCTCTTTCTTGGACACAGCTGTACATCCAAAGTCTCATTTTTGTAGGAGTTTCTCTCCACGTAACGGTGAACTTATTTACGGAGGAGAAACAGTTTTTTGGTTGTAAAGCTTTCTGCCCTAAGAAAGGAACATGGGGGAACCACGCTGGGATTTAGGGGTGTTCCTTAATGTAGCTGGTTAGTTAAACCAGCCACCTTCACTCAGTGCTTTAGAGAGATCTTGCAACTGTTTGCAGAGGGGGCAGGGAAAGGGACATTTTCCTTGAGAGCGCAGTGACTGCTCATTTGGGGGCTTCGTGCAGTGTGGAGGAACCAAGCATGAAGGCAGCCGCTGCAGTCTCCCAGCCAGCTCTTTTTGTCTGTGTTCAGATCAGCTGGGCAGTAAATGGTAGAGCCGGTACAAAGGTGTGTTTATTGTAATCCTATAAAGAGCTGGATCCATTTCAGCTGCTGTTTGCGCGTCAGGATTCCATGGGGATGTAACAGTTACTGTTAGAATTTTCCCACTTTCCTTTTTTGGAACAGGGTATACCAACACAATTGCTTTTTTTTTTTTTTTTTTTAGAACAATAAAAAAAAAAAAAAAAATATTTCCCGTTTTTTTTTGTTTTTTTTTTTTTGCATCATGGTTAGTCTCCATTAAAAGAGAAAAGGCAAAAAAAGAAACCAAGGAACACAAATCTATTTTTTTTTAAAAAAAAAAAATAACAAAAAAAAAAAAAAACCCTTTAAAAAATACAATTCTCTGCGTCCCCTCTTGTCTGCTAAGAAATAGCCAAGAGTCTGATATGAACACATTGGGGAAAAACAAAGTCCCCTTCCCTGAAATGTCTATCACATACCTCATCTATTCAACTTTGGACACCCAGTTAGGGAAAGAGTAGTTAAAATAATTAATTTGGATAAACAAATACAACAGACTTGACTGGAATGAAGCCATCTGAGATCAATGCAGCCAGCGTATGATTCAGAATTTGTGGCGTTTCTGACGCACAGCCTTGGCGTTAGGATAACTTAGGATGGGATCTTTTCATTCATGTTATAAACAGCTTCTCTGCATTTACCACTGTGCCGACCACCGGATACGGCAGTGAGTCCTGAGCAAGCATCTGACAAGACTGGCACAGTTCGGGGCATGAGCGCGGCCTATCGCCCACCCGATGCTTTGAAATTTTATCTCCCTTTACTTCATTGAAATTCAAATATCCACTTGAGGCTGGTGGTCACTCACAGGACACTGAACCAGTCCACAAGAACACAATGACATGAGTTAAGGGAATTCTAGCTCTGGGTGGCAGCCCTGGACCATCTGTGCATACTGATAACCTCAGAACGTTCAAACAATGTGTAGGAAAGATAATAGAAATCCACGCACTGGCGAGTACGGTTGGGAAGTGAATGTCTTGGTTAGTGCACAAACAACAGTGTGGACAAAGTCTCATTTATTTGTTTATTTATTTTTGTTTTCTGGTTGTCCTGTAGATTGGACCCAGGGCCTTGAGCATGCTAGGGCAAGCACGTGGCAGCTGAGCTACATTCCAACCCCCATTAGGCATGAGAAGTTGAAATCCTGCTAAAAAAAGAGTAAACATGGGCTGGAGAGATGGCTCAGCAGTTAAGAACACTTGCTGCTCTTAACTTGCAGAGGACCTGGATTCAGTTTCAGTTCCCGTATCTGGCAGCTCACAGCTGCCTGTAACTCCAGTTCCAGGGGATCTGATGGCTTCTTGTGGCTTCCAAGGGCACCAGGCACACATGACACACATTCATACATGTAGGCAAACACGTGAAATTAAAAATAAAAAAGGAAAGAGGCTGTCGAGAAGGCTGTTGCTTAGGAGTGCTTACTGCTCCTGCAGAGGAGCTTGGTCTGGTTCCCAACACTTACGTATGGAGGTTCCCAGCTGCCTCTAACTCCATTTCCATGGGATTTGAGTCCCTCCTCGGGCCCCTGAAGGCACCTGCACACATGTGATGCACATAAACTCAGGCAGGCACACACAAATATACATAAATAAAAATATTTTCAGCAGGATGTTGTTGCGACACCTTTACTCCCAGCACTTGGGAAGCAGAGGCAGGCAGATCTCTGAGTTCAAGGCCAACCTGGTCTATAGAGTGAGTTCCAGGACAGCCAGGGCTACACAGAGAAACCCTGTCTCGAAGATTCGAAAATAAATGAATGAATGAATAAACAAATATTTTCATTCTGTGACTGTGGTTTGAGAATCAGAACTACCGGGGCAAGGAAAGACATACAGTATCAATTCACAGCCACACCGGAACTGAAAGTATCCAGCCACCTTGTGCTTGGCAGTTAAAACTAGTTCACCTTAGATACAATCTTACAAAATAGCTTCCCAGCAGCTTATTTTATGTTCAGCATTTCCACTGTGATCCAGAGCGGGATCTTCCCCATAAGGGGTCTGCATGAGCTAAACTTAGGATATACAATGCTCTCAATAGCTGATGTATAATTGCCCTCCATCTCTTTCAAGCTTTCCTCTGCATTTGTGAAACTGAGGTGTGACTTACAGGCTCACTGTGTCAAGTGATGTGGTTTCTGTATAAATAATGGGTAAACATTGTCTACACGCTCCACATACAGTGTTTACGTGTCAGTCAAAATAACCATGATCGGGATGCTTGCCCAAGTTCACAAGCCTTCAGCCCCTAGGCACACAGTGCAAATATTGACACTCCCCCATCCCTGACCCTCCACACCTCACCCAGCACTCTCCAGGGACAGCTTGCAGCTCTTACTGTTTGGGACACTTCCCAGAACAGGTCGTCTGTCTAAGCCACTACTTTGGAGATGAGAAAAAGGAATCCAAAGCTGCTTTAGTGCTGTAAGGCCCTTAGTCTTGCCTCCACTTTGTCTGTCCGTGGGGACTCAGTACACTCTGTGAGTTATGTGTAGCTTGCTCACTAAAGCCTTCCAAGATGAGCAGTTTCCCCGGGGGCAGCCTGTCTCCTGGTATCACATCTTTGTCCCCAGAACTTGCTCCCAGGACACCTAGTCCATCTCAGTACCCTTAGAAACCTGCCCAGGTGGGAGACTCCCTACATACTGGGTTCAGGGACAGGTGGAGGAAAATAGCTAGAGAGGTGGGAAAGACTTCTGGCAGCTCTTTACAGGAGGTCCCTGTTGTGTGCCGGTTTCATCTCAAAGGTGTCATTTGTTAGCTTTGCCATCGGATTAGTTCCTTATCCCAGTTTCATGCTATTATAACAATGTTGGGATAAGCATCTTTTTTGTTTGTTTGTTTGTTTGTTTTTTGAGACAGAGTTTCTCTTTGAAACAGTCCTGGCTATCCTGGAACTCACTCTATAGACCAGGCTGGCCTCGAACTCACAGAGACCTGCCTGCCTCTGCTTCCCGAGTGCTGGCATTAAAGGCGTGCGCTGCTGCTGCTGCTGCTGCTGCTGCTGCCGCCGCCGCCGCCGCCGCCGCCGCCGCCGCCGCTGCCGCCTGGCAGCATCTTTATTCTTGCATGTACATGTGCTTGCAGAATGGTGTCAGGGATGCTGGGTCAAAGGGCATGTGACTTCTTTTCTTTTCTTTTTGCTGATTGAGGTGGAGCGTTCTGCTCTTCCTCTGTGTCGTTTGTTGAACATCTGTTCCCCATTTCAGCAGTTCCAACAGGCTGACTTTGAATTTGCTATGTAGCCAAGGATGATCTTGAATCTCAGTTTCTCCAGCTCTGCCTGGAGATCCAGGGGATTTTTGAATGTGATTGTTGTTTTGCTGGTGGGGTGGGCTGACACACACGAACACATACTAGCCACAAGCTTGTACAGGGCTGACACACACTAACCACAGCCTTGCATACCCCACATCTGCTTTTACCTAAGACCTCTGTCTTCAGGGCAATGGTTAGCGTGAAAGATGATTTGGAGTGCAGCTTTTCAGTGTGAAATGAAGTTTTTCAACAATTTTATTTTATTTTTAAGCCTTTTAGGTTTATTTATTTTATGTTTATGCCTGCATGTATGTATGTGCTCCACATGCATTCTTGGAGGTCAGAAGAGGGTGTCAGATCCCTGGCTGGAGTGACAGATGCTTGTGAGCCACCATGCAGATGCTGGGAACTGAACCCAGGTCCTCTGCAAATGCAACAAGTACTCTTCACTGCCG